TAGATCAAGAGAAACAAAAAGGAAAGAAATTAGATATCCTTATATTTAACTTACAACACTTTACAGAATATATAGAAGACATTGAGATGGGAATGCAGCTCACAAGATTAGGAATTTTTAACCCAAAATTACTAAAACATGACTATTTGTTGCATGTTAATTCTGAGAAATTGTTGAATACAAAAACTTCCACTTGGTTTAAATCAGATACAAACGAAATACTGATAATATCCCATATTCCTCGAGAAATAATAAAAAGCCCGGTATTCGAAATAATTCCATACCCGGATGAAAATAATAATATTTTGACAGAAATAGCTCATGAAAAATATTTTACCCAAGATAAAAAAGTTTATAGCAGAGAAACAAAAAAATTAATTAATAATGAATGTTTAACAGGAATTTTAAACCAAATAACATCAGAATGTAGTTATACTAAAATTTTGCAAAATTTTCAAATCAACTACATAGAACCAAATATAATTTTAACTTGGAATTTACCAAAAACTATATTAAACCATAATTGTATAAATAACGAAATAACAATAGAAGGAAACAATATAATAAAAATCTTTAATTGTTCATTGCAAATTAATGAAATTTCAATTTCAAACAATATGTTAGATTATACTCAAAGCATTTACGTAAGCAATGATGTTATAAAATTAGAACCACTTTCGTTTGTACAAACGAAACAAATTATAAATGCACATACAAAATTTAACAATGTATTCCAGATAATTACAATAACCATATTTGTAATCATATTAATAAGTTTAACACTGTATTTGACATATAAGTTCAAAAGCATACCTAAGAAATTAATTATAAAATATAAAAAACCCAAAGTAGAAGAAACACCTACAATAATAGGAGATATACCAATTGTAAAAGAAGAAAATGTTACACTATATCCAAACTTAAACACCTGAGGACAGGCACTTTTCTAATGGTTGGGGGAGTGACATATCCATAGTCGCACCCACCCTTTAACATAACTTAGCACATAAGCATAAGCACAATTATAAACATTTCTAATATTGTAAACAAAGAGCCTGGTGATAACATCGACATTGGTCAAGATCAAACTGTCCCCCTTTGGTAGACATAAACAATTCACCCTAAATATCACGCCACTGTCAATGTTCCCATCAGAGTACTATCCCACGCATAATTGCTGACGCAGCTCAAACTTCACTCAATTTTGACTCAAACTCTCTCAAAGCGAAGTTTGCTAAGCGACCGCAACAGTTAGATAAATCAGTTCATATTCGGGAAGCAAATCTGAATGTACTCAACAAAAGTAGCCGTTAAGTGAAAATAATAAATTGAAATATATTTTTTTATAGTAACCTAACGTGTAAAACTTAATTATATATATTTTGATAAGCCAATATTTGTAGTAAGTCAAGCGATAGATAACGGCAGACACGATGTTTGTAATCCATCAGTGTCGGGGGCGGTTGGTGGCGGTCGGCGGGCCGTGGTCAATACTCGTACTCTGACTTTGGGCGCAATAAACTTTATAATTTATAGGCCAATCAGACGCAGATCGCACGCACTAAAACAAGTGAAAAATCATAGTCCAAACACATAATGCATCAGTGAAGATCAGAGAGGCAGGCAATTTATAGGATGGCCATGCCAATAGACACCGCACAGCGGGTTGTCAAATCGAAGAGCGACTGTGACGGTAACTGAGACTCAAGAGTGGGACTGGAACTGCTGGATGGGATGCCTGCCCGGACTCTACTGGCCAATTGATTTATACAAACGGCAAAGCAACGGAACACAAATTGGTTGGCTTTGCACTGAAGATCGGCTGGCTGGGGTTCCCGAAATGATTTGTTGCACTTGGCCACAATCGTCGCATACGCAGAACTTTTGCCAGTTGCGCTGTTTAACCTTTTGAACTGGCCACATGGGTGGAGTTGCACGTGTTGCAGATTTCAGTGGAAATCATTAGCCAGAGATCAGCAACAGTTGCTCACTAGCCGACTGGCTGACTAGCTGACTGAATGGTTGGTTGTCTAACATCGTTGGCATTGCTTTGCATGCGGCCTGCGTAGCTAATTAGAGCCATAAATGCAACACACAGCTCAATCCCCCAATGTGAGCCCCGTTGAACTTGTTTAAAGCCCCGCGGATTTGACGGAAAGTGATATGCAGGCGTTGGCAAAAAATGTTTGGCCGGCCAACAACAGAAGTAACAACAAAAACGACAACAACAATAGCAATAGCAGCAGCATCAACAGCAGCAGCAACTACAAACAGATGTCGCCTGTCGCCCGTTTTGACCATTTAGGTTATGTTGGAATCCAACACCAGTTTATCAAGCGACGGCCCAAACAATAAATTACGCAATCCAAACGCTCAACTGCAGTCCATCAATGGCATAATGAGGTAAGCGGCTGGCCGCCCCAGCAGCAACAGCAGCACCAGCGGCCCCAGCGCAGATGCATTACCATATCGGCATAAATTCCGGAGCATCGTTAAGTGGGCCTGAAGACGACTGCCAGACAAACAGGCTGTGCTTGTGCCGCTGCCAATGCCGATGCCGCTGCTGTTGAGTGGGGCCGCAGTTTCAAGCAGGTTGCCTGCTGCATGCCACATGCCACATGCCAGAGTCCGCCAGGTTACCCAGAGTGCCACCTAATGAGGGAATCACCGCCAATGCCAATGTCGACATAGCTATCGATAATGGCTGGCTAGGGGAACATAGGACCCAGGGCAGTAGGTGGAGTTGTTCGAGAAACTCTTGCGACTAGGAGCTGTCTTGTAGTTGACCTTTTAACTCTCGTTTAATTTACGATGTCAAACGAACTTTGAAGAGATTTCATTTTGTTCTCAATCAAAACAAAGCTGCTAAATACTTTTAAAATGTATCTAACAGATTTAAATTTAACTTTATTATGTATTAAGTACGATTAAAAGTATCCCTGATCAATTGGGCGTATGGTACTAGACAGCACATTTACTTCTGGAGTTTCGACTTTGGCGTTTGTAAAAGCTTTCTTGCCACCATACTCTTTGATTATATCAACGACTGCGCGATAACTTCCGTATACAAAAACAAAGGTGCCAAATAAAATAATGACTATATTCTTCCACAGTTTCCATTTCAACTTCCCATAGGTTTCCTGATAGAACAGGCATAGCTCAATGCAGCACGGAGCAATTATATTAAGTATGGATATAGAAAAGGCACCAACCAACGCCAAGAGTGGACCCAAATTGGGAAAAGCAATGGCATTCAATGTGCATACAATTACGAAAGCAATGCGGATTATGTACTCAATCACATGGGGATGCTTCAGTTCGCGATTCTTTTTTAGATAATGGTTCATGATAATGTCGATGGGTACATAGCCGCTCAAAGGATATGTAAGAAAAACAGCAACTGAAATAAATACCTTGATAATTTTCGCAAGGCTGTTATAAATGTGCAGACATTTATATATATCTATATGCATATTATCGAAATCCAAGGAATGAAACACTTACACTTCTTCGGTTGGCAAATTTAAAGTGACGCTACCTTCCACCTGATCACCATAGCGCCAGTAGCCAAAAAAGCCAAAAAGAATATATGTGACAGTTATAAAGATACCGGCGCGGGCTAAAACACCGCACCAGCCCAAATACTGGGCAGGCTTAGCCATTTTTTGCTCTATAGCCAACATCTGCAATAATATGGAAGAATGTTGAAATATATTCATTTAGCTATTAGATACCACATTGACTTACCACACCCACCGAGGAAATAGCAAACAGTACAACGCCAAAAAATAGGGCCAGGTCATATTTAAACAGTTCTCGTTCACCCAAGGGGGGTAAGCCGATACAAAAGTAATACAATATACACGCGAATCCCACATAGAGCAGAATATTCGCAAGTATATTTGTAGGTACCAGATACTTCAGTTGACGCAAGAGGAACAGTGGTATTAATAAAAGCCCCACCGCTGCACAATAAATCCAAACATCTATATTAGGCCACACTTCGTCTAAAATTTGTTTGATATTTAAGGCCACAAACACGACGTACACTACACAAATACCGTAGTGTGAGAATGCCAGAACACCGTCTATAAAAAAAGCGACTACTTTGGATATAGAGCGACAACACTTCGGCCCCACACTGAAGGAATACTCAACAGTCTCGGGAAATGTCATATAACCAACACTATTGCGGCGACTGCTCTCGACCATACACATAATCTGCCAGGGAGGTGTTATATATGATTGGTGAGATATATTAGATATACTTTGCCTACTAGTAGTTGCATTCCATAAATAAGTAGGGCGGTGCAAAAGGCAGTCAGAATGGAGCCAGCAATAAAACCAGCGTAGTGAAAGGCGAGGGGCAAGGCCAAAATCCCAGTGCCAATGACGCCCTTCATCAGCGAGGCTAAAGCATCGCAATTGCTTTGGGACAGCTTAATAAGCGAGAATGAGTTTATAAGAAATAGACTTACGATAATGGTGCTTCCACATTTCGATTTTCATATGGATCAAAATCGCTGTTAATAGATAAAAAAACAATTAACTAGAGATGCATTGCAATATGAAAAAGGATGCTATAAGAAAATCACATACCTCTGCGCCATTTCGAAGTTTTTAGAATTATAAGTGAAGATTGATATCAAGACCAAGGCATACTAAGTTATTTATTATGTTAAATATACAAAAATCTTTTGAAATGGGCGATTATTCTCTAAATATCAAGCTTGATGTTCAGTTTTTATTTTAAAGCTACAGTTTTCAACGCAAGAAATGCACTATTCCCTTACTAGCATGCTTTTTATTTTGCCATATTTCAAGGTTTGCGAAATGTGATATATCATTTAATCGGAACTTGCACAATTTCCGTACAACCGTCGCTGCTAAGTAAAGTCATTTTCATGAGTTTATCTACGGCAAAATCAGCGAGAGTCGATGAGATAAGTAGTATGTCCCTTATATATATATGAGAAGTACTTTTGAGTAGTAACCAAGTATTTGAAGACAATTTCCAGCAATTCAAACTGGTTTTTATATTATAACATTTTTGTAATCATTTTATACATTTTGGAATATACAAAACTATCGTTCTGTGAAAAGCTTAAAAAGATACGATTGTCATATTTGTCTGTTATGTCTGCTACTGGATAAATATAGCTCAGGTGAGCCAGACAAAAGGAGCCCATAAAGGAGAGCAGTAGACCCAAATTGTAATATGCAATGGCGCAAAAAACGGAGGCAACTACCATGGCCATACGCAATAGATACTCCGCCGATTTCTTGGTATTCGCCATAAGTCTAGGCGTCATATAGCTGCGCCAAATTATCTCAGTTGTTACGTAGCCCTGCAGCGTATAGCTAAAAAATCTGGGTATTGTGAACAAGGCTGTTGTACATTGACATGAAATGATTAGACAATTATGTATTGCTTGCAGTAAAGGCAGTACGATTCATCGGAGGGCAGATTGTTGATAATAGAACTAGAAGTCTCATCCCCGTACTGCCAACAGCCTAAAAAGCCAAAAATATCATGGCCCGATTCAGCACACCAAACTTTTCCAAGGATCTGGAAACGAAATAGTTGTAATCTGAAAGTTCCAAATATTTGTACGAGTTACCAAACCCAGCGAGTCGATTGAAAACAGAATTGCGCCAAATAACAGGGGATACATAGATGAACGTTGTATATCTGTTCGCTTCGACAGACTGGGTAAAAGAAAGTCTGAAAAATAACCAATAAATCGTTCGATAAAATTGAAAAACTTACTGATGAGCATTAACACATTTGAGATAATGGAAAATGGTACCAGATACTTAAGATCGCATATGAGAAAGGTTGAGATCAGAAGCACAGTGATCAGCACCCAGTTTCTTAGTTTTCGTGCCCATTAACATCACATATACACAATCCACGACGAATGATAACCTGGGGGCTTTTAGTTACATTTTCAATCTAAGGCAATATCAACTCACGATCAATTCTTGTTTTCGCTTCTCATTTGCAACTATAATCTTGAATCATATCCCTAATAGCCCCATAGCTGCCATAACAAAGGACAAAAGTCCCAAATATGATCATAAGTATATTCTTGAATAATTTCCACCTAAGTCTTCCATACGAATCGTGATATAAAAGGCAGATTTCTATACAGCATGGGAATATTAGATTTAGTAGGGATATAGAGAAAGCACCAACCAACGCCACAAGTGGACCTAAATTCGGAAAGGCAATGGCATTCAATGTAACTAAAATTACGAAAGCAATGCGGAGTATGTATTCAATCATATGGGGATGCTTCAGTTGGTTATTTTTATTCAGATAATGGTTTATGATGATCTCTATGGGAACATAGCCACTCAGAGGATAGGTAAAATAGACAGCAAATGCAATGCCCAACTTAGTAAGCTGCGCGATGCTGTTATAAAATTATATAGACGATAGATTAGCAATTGCTCTTATTAATATTGGAATACTTACATATCCTGAGCGGGCAGATTAATGGTGACACTAGCGGCTATGTTATCACCATAACGCCAGTAGCCAAGAAATCCGAAAATTATATTCGTGATGCAAACGAAGAGAGCACACAAGCTCAAAATACCGTGCCAGCCCAAGTAAAGGGCAGGCTTAGCCATTTTGGCTTCAACAGCCAGCATCTGCGTTAATGGGTATGAGTTTTGAAGGGGAATTGATTAACCTGTAGATAAAAGGCTAGCTGACTTACCACACCGACTGACGACGTGGCAAACATAACGATTCCCACGAATATGGGGACATCTAAAGCATTTAAGGGCAGCATACGCTTTTCACCAAGGCTGGGCAAGCCTTTAATCATATAATAGCAAATGGCGCAGAGGCTTAAGTAGATCAATACATTTGCAATTATCGAGAAGGGCACAAGATACTTCAGCTGACGCACAAGAAACAGGGGCAAGCACAAAAGCCCAACTATAGCACAAACAACTCTTAAGTCGGAGCTAGTTATATAAATGTCTGAAAGTTCCTTGAAATGTATGGCAACGAATACGTGATACACTACGTTGTAACCATAGTGAGCGATACACAAAATAATATCCACCAAGCAGCCGACTCCCTCGGATATGTAACGACAGCACTTTGGGCCCACACTAAAGGAAAACACCATTGTATCTGGGAAATTCATATAGCCTACCTTATTGCGACGGCTGGATTCAACCATACACTTTATCTGCGACCGAGTTTATTTATATGAAATGCATCATATTTCGACATATGTGGCTTACCAGTAGTTGCATTCCGTAAATTACTAGGGCAGTACAGAGAATTGTCATCACTACGCCACCAACAGTGCCAGAATACTTAAAGGCCAGGGGCATGGATAAAATGCCAGTGCCAATAACGCACTTGAGTAGGGTCATGAAAGCTTCACAATTTCTATAAGACAGCTGGTTGAGCGAAATCGATGATATAACAAATAAAATATGTAAGCTGGCTTACGATAGTGGCTTCTCCATATTGCGGTTATCATAAGGTTTGTAGCCGCTAATGAAATGTTTGATGTATTACCATAACTAGTGTTTGTGCAAGCCCATCTTACCCATCGCCCATTACAAAATTGTGCCTTAAATTTTTGGAAAATATATAATTTAGTTTTTACAGACTTATAAGAAGAAATTTGTGTTGTTTACAATTGTAATGGGCCATTTTTCAAGGATTGTGATATGCTTTAAATTTCCAAATGAATTGTGAGTCATTGAAATATTTGAATATAAAGAAAAGCCTAGGTGTCGTAGTCGGAATTGCATGAATAGGATACTATATTATGTAATCGGAACTAATCGTACAATGCAGCAGCAATGCATAACATCGTCGCTGCTAAATAAAGAAGAGTTAATAGAACTCTAAAGTGGGACGGGAAATTGTAATAGTCACACTAGAAGTTGGCCTAACCTGGAATCTGAAACAATTTATAAGAAAACTTGATTGGAATATTAATAAATTATTTAATTTAAAAGTGGGTACATAAGACTTTAATAGTGTAAATGGATTTTATGACAAATTTCTATCTTTATAATTTGTAATATACAAAAATTACATTTTATGTGGTTATGTGAAAAGCACTTAAAAAAAATAAGATACGATTGTCATATTTTTCTCTTATGGCTGCTACTGAGATCATTGTGCCAGCAATGCCGCCGCACAGCCCAATAAAAATAAAAAACAGAGAGCGCAAAAGAAATATTTTGCAGGGTCCATAGCCTTCGCTATAACGAACGAATATATTAATAAGGCTCGGATAAATAAAGCCCAGTTGAGCCAGACAGAAAGAACCCACAAAGGAGAGCAGTAGACCAAAATCGGGATATGCAATGGCGCAAAGAACGGAGGCAACTACCATGGCCATACGCAATAGATACTCTACCGATTTCGAGGCGTCCGCTATAAGTCTAGGCGTCAAATAGCTGCGCCAAATTATCTCAATGGTTACGTAGCCCTGCAGCGCATAGCTAAAAAATATGGCTATTGTGAACAAGGCTATTATACATTGAGGCACGCTGTTGAATAATTGACATGAAACGATTAGAAGATTATGTATTGTTTAGAGTTGTGGCACGTACGTTTCATCGGTGGGTAGATTGTTGATTATAGAACTAGAAGTCTCATCCCCGAACTGCCAATATCCCAAAAAGCCAAAGGATGCATAAAAAATAACAACAATTATCATGGCCCGATTCAGCACACCAAACTTTCCCAAATAATTCTCAGGCGTTGTCATGTGCAGTTGAAGTGCAAGGATCTGAAAACAAAACAGTTGTAATCTGAAAGTTGCAAAAATAGGTTGGCATAAGTTACCACGCCTACCGCCTCGATTGAAAACAGAATTGTGCCAAAGAACAGCGGATACTTAGATAAACTCTGTATGGCTGTTCGCTCTGAGAGACTGGGTAAATCGTTCAAAAAATAGCTTAAAATTAAACCAAAGCCTAAAATACAGTTAGCAGAATATTCAAAGAGTCTTTCGTTTAAGTTCAAAAGCTTACTGATGAGCATTAACACATTTGAGATGATAGAAAATGGTACCAGATACTTGAGATCGCGTATGAGAAAGGTTAAGATCAGAGGCACCGTGATCAGTGCCATATAAATACGTGTATCGATAGGTGTAAAATATAAGTCGGCCAGTTTCTTGATATTCTTGCCCATAAACACCACATATACACAATCCACGCCGAAATGATAAATGCAGAGAAATATATCCACCTGGCGGCTAATAGATACATTTTTGATATGTGGGTTATCATAAGCGGCATCGACTCACGAAAAATATTTATTTAAAGGTCTTGCCCAGACGGGTCCATTTAAAATGGCTAGTTGCATTTTTTTTTTTTTTTTTTTTATTTTTTTATATTTTGTTTATTAAGAAATCTGGTATCCTGTTACTCTATGTTAGCAACTTTTATCAGAGTGACATAATTACTTAGCTTAGCGATGATTGTGGTTTTACAATTAGTTATACAATTAGGTTAACAGATTACAGAAACATATTTTGGTGTAATTAACGAAGCTTGTCACCTATACATAACGATCGATTAGGTCGGTTGGGTAGGTCCTCTTCAGTCGCCTTCTTCTTCGCCTCCTTAGCAGGCTCCTCGCCAGGATGTTTGGATGGTTGTGGAGCTTTGTTGAGTAGCTCGCTGCTTGCCTGTTGACTATGTCGCCCACCATTGGAACCTTGAGGTCCTTGGCGATGTCGCGTGTGCGAATATACCATTCGGCTCCAGTTATTTTGCGCAGGGTTTTGGCCTGAATGATGCGAATTTTGTTCAGGTGTGTTTTTGCAGCTATACCGTAAACTTGAAGCCCGTAACGCCACACTGGGGCAAGGATTACCTTGTAGATTAGGACCTTGTTTCGGAGCGAGAGTTTGTTTTTGGAGTTGAGGAGCCAGCTCATTCGCCTTATCTTAGATTTGATGTTGCTCGTTACTGCAGAGACGTGCTTACTAAATGTAAGTCGTCTGTCGAGAGTGACACCTAGGTACTTGTGTTGACGATATTGCTCTAGAAGCTCACCATGAAGAAAAAGTCCGGGGCATGAGTCTTTGCGTAGAGTGTGGGTAACCGTGGCGCACTTTCCAGGGTTCACTGCGATGTTCCATCTACAAGCCCAGTTTTCAAATCGCTTGAGGTATTCCTGCAAGAGGTCAGTTGCCACGTACACACATTTGTTTTTTGCAAGGATTGCCGTGTCGTCAGCAAACGTGGCCACCAGAAGGTCCTGCCGATCATTCCGTCTGCTTGCATTTGCTGTGGGCATGTCATGTGTAAACAGGCTATATAGCGTGGGACCCAAGACGCTGCCTTGTGGAACGCCCGCTTTTATGCGTTTGGTTTGAGAGGCTACTCCATCCTGCACCACTTGAAAGGTTCTCTCAGTTAGGAAGCTCGCAATGGTGCTAAATAGCTGCGGATTCAATTTGTCCTTTATCTTAGAGAGGAGTCCTGCGTGCCACACCCGGTCGAAGGCTTCTTGGATGTCAAGGTATGCTGCCACCACATACTCTTTCCTGTGAAAGCCGTCCAAAATATAATTTGTGACCCGATGTAGTTGCTCAGGGGTACCGTGTTTGAGTCGAAACCCAAACTGGAACTTCGGGATCAAGCGTTTTATTTCCGGGGTATCCAGGACCCTTCTGAGGATGCACCTTTCCAGAATCTTACCAAAGGCAGGCAGGAGGCTGATGGGGCGATAGGATCCCAGTTGATTAGGGGGCTTTCCGCTCTTGTGCAACATGATTATATGTGCCTTCTTCCAAGCCACTGGAAAGTAACCTAGCCGAAGAGCTGCATTAAAAATGGCGACGAGAAAAAGCACCGCCTTGTATGGCAGTAGCTTGATTGTCTGGTTGTCCAACCGATCTTCCCCAGGGGCTTTGCTGCTTTTTAATCTCTTCATCTCCTGCTCTACTTCTTGGAAGGTGATTGGCGATACAGGGAGTGACATTTGGAGTGGCGCCTCCAGGATTTGCGCGACTCGCTGTATCCTTGCATGCGATGCGGTCTCAAACGGCTTGAAGCGCTCCTCCAAGTTGCAGGCAAAGGCTTCGGCTCTGTCCATTGGTGATCTGGCCCAGGTGTCATCGGGAAGTCGAACGGGGAACTTTGGCGCAGCTTGCCGCTTGTATCGACTGCTAAGTTTCCACAGCGCGAATTTGGAGCTCTCGTCTGCCGTTGCTTCCTCCAGCATGGTGTCTGTGGCATTTCTTTTCGAGATAATCAGCTCCTTCCTGACCCTGTTAGCAATACGACGATAGATCCTGTCAATCGTGGGGTCCTGGGTACGGACATACTCCCTCCTCAGTCGCTTTTTTAGGGCGAGAAGACCTTCCAATATGGGGGAAAACGTCCTTGGCCGCTGGCTTGTAGGGGCTGAGTAGATATGTGCGGGCGCAGCGTTGGCGGCTGCGGCATGTACTTGGTCCAACAGGGTTTGTACTGCAGCGTCGACGTCCTCAACTGACAGAATCTGCGTGTTTAGGTTGATCAAGCTATTTAGTTCGGCCTTAAATCGTTGGATGTTCGACCCAGGGAGGACAAGCCTGCGCTTTTTTGGGATCCTTTGTGCAGCCGTGTTGATCGTTGTGAGGAGTGGCAGATGGTCGGAAGATAGATCATACTCTTCGCGAACCGATAGTACGCTGTTGGGGATGCCCTTGAATATAAAAAAGTCGATACAGGAAGGCGTACTTTGCCGGTTGTACGGAAAGTGGGTAGGTCTACCGGTGGCCAGTACCTGGGCTGAGCAGGGAGTGAGCGCCTCATGGAGCGCAGTGCCTCTGCTGTCAGCTCTGTAGTTTCCCCACAGTCTGTGCTTAGCGTTGAAGTCGCCTCCAACGATGAATTTGGGGCCAAGCTGGCCAAACAGGGAATCAAATTCCGCTCGGTTCCAGGGGATGTTTGGTGGTAGGTATGCTGCCGCAACGAGGATTTCGCCCAAGGGAGTCTCCACCATGATAGCAGCCAGCTGTGTGTCGCTGGAGGTCACTGTGTGTAGATGGTAGTGTGCTAAATCCTGCTTTGCCAGCACTACAGCACCACCTCTGGCTCGTCCTGTAGGGTGATCCGCACGGTAGCAGACGTACCCCTCCATTGTTAGGTACAAGTTTGTGTGCAGATGTGTTTCTGAGATGAGCATGATGTCTACATCATGCTTTTTCAGAAAAAGCTTGAGCTCGTTAGCATTTTGGAGGATGCCACGAGCGTTCCACGATCCGAGACGTAACTGGGTAGCCATTATTTGCGGCTTTTTGGGAATCTAAGCTGCGGGGAACCTTGCGCATCCTTTAGCTCTTTAATGCTAACCAGAATGGTTGCAACTGCGGCATTCAGTGCTGCAATGGACTGCTGGAGGTTTTGAAGGATGCCTCCAAGGGAAGCGTCTTGCTCCTGAGGCCCTTGCAGTGGTTGTTGGAGCTGCATTGGATTGACGGTGGGCTGAAGAGTGCGCGCTGGGGGTTGGCGGACTTGTACATGATGGCCTGGCCGTAGCGCATCAGCATACGACAGGCCCTGTTGCACAATTCGGGAAGGTACGAACTGCTGAGTGGTTCTTCGTGTATTTTGAGGATGGCTATATCGTGTAGGAGGGGAGACATTGATGGCCGGCTGCCTGGCATTTAGTCTCACCTGATAGCTTTTGCATCCTTTATAGGAAGCAGCATGGTTTCCCTCGCAGTTGGAGCATCGCAGGTCTGCCACTGTTTTGGCCTGGCACTGCTCGGAGTTTGTCCAATGGGACTGACCGCACCTACCACACTTGGGCTGTTTGAGACAGTAGTTTTTGGTGTGGTCGAACTCGAAGCAGCGGAAACACTGCCTTATACTATTGTTCTTCCTCGGAAGCTCAATAGTGACCCGTTGGCGGCCAACCTTGTTGAGCCGCAGCGCTTCCCTGTTGTTAAGAGACTGCTTGAGATCGACAAACCAGAAGTTGCGACTTGGAAAGTCGTTGGTGGAGTCTGCATCACTTGTTGGCTGTCTGGCGCCCGGGTTGTAAAGGTTCGTCACAATATGGCCGTGCGATGTAAAGGCAGCTTCAATCTGGCTTCTGGGAGTGGAAGCGGCCAGATTTTTAACCACAACGCGGTATGGTCTGTCTTCCTTTAGGCAGAAGTGGGTAAATTGCACTCTCACTTCAGTGAGCTTGCGGACAATTGCTCTGTGGGTGTCGGCATCTTTGGCGTAAATTCTTAGATAGCCAGAGGGAGAGACCTTGAATTCATAGGCGTCTGCGCCCACTGCCTGATCTATGGTTCGCTCCATTGCGACAATATCGCTGACTCCAGGGACTGTTATCGGCCTGGGTTTGGAGATCTTTTTCGCTGATTGTTGTTGGTCTGTGACTGGAGGCGCTTCGTCGGCAGTGTCCATCTCGCCGTCATCGATTACAGAGGCGTCTTCCTGAGGCTCAAGGGAGGCATATCTGTTGCTAATTGCCGAAGCGGTACTGGGAGTTGCGGGCTTAGCTCCAGCGCGGCTGGTGTTGCGGTTATTTAGTTGCTTCCCTTTTTTTACGCCTTCGGATAATAATGTAGTCCCACGCCGTTTTTTTGCGGAAACCGTTTGCCAATCTACCAGTGGCTCTTCGAAGGCTGGCGTAGCACCTGCGTTCTTTATGGGAGGCAGAGGGGGGTTTGTGACACAAGAACCAGCTGCCTGGGTGCCATAAGGGGTGGACTGCAAGGTCGGATTGGCGGCTTTGGGGCGGGTCCCGATGGGCTCTAAAGCGGCGCGGCTTGTGCCTGTTGAGGCAGATGTCCTGCAGCCGCTGCTGGATGACGCTGTGGTTGTGGTGGTTGTTGCTGTCGTTGTGCTGACAGTGCCGTGCTGTTGCGGTTGCCAAGTCGAGCATTGCTGGGTACCGGCTGACAGCGAGGTGGAGGCGCCGTTCCGGTTTGCACTACTGGCGAGCACGTTGTTGTAATATTGGTAAAAATCTTCCAGTGGCCTGCTTCCGTCGAGGCGATCGACATTAGCGGCTATATTTGTAGGGGATATAATTGAGCTGTTCGGCAGCGGGTAGATTGGCGAATGAATTTCTTCGTTGTTTTGGGGTCGGTTGTTTGTAGCCATTGTTCTTTACTTTGTTATAATTTTTTCCCCACAGGGAGAAAAAAGAATAAAAAATAAAAACAAAACAAGTTTTTTACACTTAATTACAAAAATAACCCGTATTTTTGTAACAAGTGATTGATCACAAATTGTGACTTTAGTGTCAGCACTGTCACTGCAGTGACTGTTTTGCCAGCACTATCAGTGCAGCTGCAAGCTGAAAGCTCTCTCGCGAAAGCTTTGCTGCACTCGCGCACACACACACGCACTTGAGTTGCGATCAGCTGAGCGCAGCTTAAGTTTTGCAAGAACTTGTTCTCACGCACTGCACGCGGTAATTTTTTTGTTAAAATATTGTTAATTTGTATAACACTCCGGCTGCCAGAGGCAGCAGTTGCGTATAGTTTACCCACTATAAGCGGGATTTGTATGGATTGCCCTGGGGCGGGCTTTATACAGTGTCACTGTCACTTTCTTGGTTTATGCCTGCTGCCAGCGGTGCACTAACGCGCACACACACACGAGTCTGCAATTTTCACGTCCGATCTCCAGAGAAACACAAACGTAAGTGCTAGTTGCATGGCTTCACTGTAGCTGAGCATTTTCATCTTATAGCGTTTGCATAGCTTGTTGATGTCGTCGATCTGTGGTGAATGCTAAGTCATGTAAAATATTTTGGGTTCTTGGGCCCTAAAAACGCTACCAACACATGCAAGGAATATACGACAATGGCTGCAACCAAAACAGTGCTTATCAAACCAAGCAGCCAGCCAGCATTGTAGTAGGCTCTGGGCATTGCCAGAATACCCGTGCCAAACGTGCATTTGATTAAATTAACGAGGGCCTCCATATCCCTAAGTATTAGATGCTTATTTAGGCGTTCTTAATGCATTAGTGATAGGTTTCATACGACATTGGAACCGGGTTCTCTTGATGCATATTTGGATTATTGTACACCACCGAGCTGAAGCGAAAGACACGATAGTCAACTGGTTAACATAAAAATATATAACTACATCTATTTTTATGGAATGCCTCATGAATACTTACCCCAAGTGTACCTTTAGAAAGGAGAAGAATTGAGAACATGTACCCTGCTGTTCTTGATCGCGTTTTTTTGTGGTAAGCCGAAGGCTTCTTGTATTCTTAAGCACCATTTCAGCTTATAAATTAGCTTATAGAAGAAAACAGATCTCTACAGTCATATATATATATATATATATAAATATAAATATATTTATATATATGTGTACAGCCTTGCATATGAGTTTGCCATATTTTCAGAGCCAACTCGGTTACCAATTATGTAAATGTCTAAGAGAAGAGAAGAGACAACAGGATTTCTTAAAGGGACGCAACGTACACAATACCCTTTCTTTGAGTTCAGTTGAGAAATTTTCCAGGCCAATATTCAATTTACTGAGGCCTTAACCGCATAACAACGTAGAATTTTTTCAAGACTTATTTTACTTTTATTGTGTGATTTCTTGCATAGGGTATCCCATCTTCAGTGCTATTAATACAACCTTAACTTTAAAAAATTTCAGTATTAGCATGGCCCAGAGCAGTGATTCATTCCAGGAAATTAAGCACAGCAGCAACAGAGGCAGCGTCTGTTGTGTGGGCGTTTAAGGCCTGGCAAAATGATCTGACCATGAACACTGGCCATGAGCCCCGGGTCTGACAGGACTTTGGAATTCGTTCGTTGTACGACGGCTGCTCTTGCTACCTAAATTATGCAGCAGCCCGCTGGCAATCGAGGTTGCAAGGCGGCAAGGCGGCAAGTCGGCGAGTCGCCAATGATCCAACTTGAGCCGCTGCCCCGCCTTGTTCCGCTTGCCAAGTTCTAGGCAAGCCAAAAGACAAACTAATTAGTGTGGCAAGCGCTGTCGTTTTGCACGCATTTTTCACATGCCTAGCAATGATGGCACTGACCATAAATTGAGCTAAACATCGCACCGCACCGCACCACACCGAACCGCACCACATCATTCAATACGATTGGAAAGTACAGTTTCTAGTTAAATCTGAGTCCCCATTGTGTGCGGCCCATCGAAGGCCTCCTGCTGAGTGTACGTGGATAGATAGTAAGAGTATGAGTATGAGAACAAGTGTGAGTACGAATGCGAGTACTTGTAATGTATACGATAGACCACCTTCCCAACCCCCTGCGGCCAACAAAACCGCCCCTTGGCCGCTTTGTGTTGGCGGAAATGATGTTTTTCCTATGCAAATTCTGTTGGTGCCCCTTTTTGCATTTACCAAGTGTCTTTTGCAGTGTTGTTTATTTGTTTTTTGTCGAGGCCAAGCCAGGGGTCAACTACGCATTTGATTGCAGTTGCCATTGCTATTGCGTATGTCCCCCTTATTTCCCCTTGATGTCGTTTCTAATATTTTTTCGCTGCGCGTGTGTGTGCGGGAGGTCGGCGAATTGAAATTTGTTACCCTTCACCGTGCCCATACCTACAGAAACTAGTACACATGTGGCCAGGTGTCAATTGTTCGTTATTAAAATGTAGAAATACTTCGAATGGATATATATCCAAATTTAAATGCCTAATTGATCGAGCTTGTTCGATTTGGACAAGATCACCAGAATTGGATGAATTATTCACAGAATAAAGTACTTTAGAGCGAGCAGAAGCTTACGGGCTTTCCCTGAACGAATTGTCAGTAGTATAGCCAAATAAAATAAATATATTTTTGGTAAATCTAATTTGTTAGCTGACTGTTGTTTGCATAACCAATCAACCCTGCTCCGAGCTTAGGCGTGCAGGGTATGAGTACAGTAGCAACACCAAGGAACAGTCACACTAAACAGACATTTAAATATGCGCATTGGCAATTGCATTGCAGGCGTACCACGCTGCGTATGAATTTTCTGTGAAATTAACATACTAATGACACTTTGAGGCTGACCAAGGGTGGTGGCCGTTGCCCATTGATGATGTTCGCCCCAGGCGCTGCCCATCCGATGCGGCCAAGTGCCGTTTTCCAGTCCATGACAGAGCGGGCAGAAATCAGCTGGTGAAGCAAGTGGGTCAGCGACTGCAACTCGAACTTCGCATGTGGTTCAATAATTCCAACAGTAAATGCTAAACTATGCGCATAGATTGTCAACGCGCCAAGATGCTTAGCTGATTGCTGCCGTCGAGGCGAGGATTGGAGTGGTGCTGTTGCTCGAGCTGCTGCTGCTGCTGATGCTGCTGCTGTTGCTGCTGCTGGACGTGGTGCGTCATTAAAGTGCAGACAAATGGCAACGGCATGTGCGGCACATGTCAAACTGCAAGCAGCAGCAAACGGCAACAGGTGAAAATGTTGGAATTCTGATTATCTGTTGGCTGTTTGGCTGCCTGCTGCTGCCAATCACCAGATGCAACTGTTGCCGGGAGTCATGCCAAGCAGCAACTTAAACTGTAACTTTCGACGATTTGTCGTTCGGCGCTCGTCGCTGGTTTGTTGACGGTTTGCTATTTGCTTTTTGTTTGCTTTAAGCCTGCTACTTTGATGTTTGGCTACAAGACGATCAACTTAAATACCCAAGAGCAACAACAACAGCAGCACAACACACGCATAATTATGCTGCCGCTGTTGCTGTCTGTTCTGGTGCTACCCGCCAGCAACATGGGTGCTACATTCCAGTTGGTTTTTTTTTTCCCATTGACCGTTTGCCATTTGTAGGCAGCACATGACACGCCCACATTCAATTTACAGCCGGAAGTGTGGGTGTGCACGCATTTTGATGTTCTTCTACTTCTACAACCATGATTTTGAATTTACTTTAATACTGATTTTGTTTTTACTTGTTTTTTGCAAAGTGGAACTCATTTGGTCGCGCATAAATCAAAAATTGTAGCAGCGATTCTTAGCAGGCAGCAGCAGCAGCAACAGCAACTCCCGCATAAAAAGTATGAAAAACCCATATAATGATTGGCTACAGAACAACAAGAGCAACACAAGCGAAATATCAGAAACAACAGCAACATAATAGCCAATTGCCTTGGCCACGTAGCAGCAGCAAAAAGTGGGAGGATGCAGTGAATTTTCTCCCTCGGCAAAACTTATTTTTTAACGTCGGCTGCCGTTTATTTTGTTGTTGTTGCTGCTGTTGCTGCGGCAGTGGCTGTCGAGCCGTTTGCCTTTTTGGGGCCGTCAGGTCTTCGCCTAAGCGGCAGGTTCCTGTCTGCGCCGTCTGGAGCCCAGCTTCTGAGACGTTGACTGCATTTTTAAGCGCGCTGCGCATAAAATAAAAGCAGATTGCAGCAGCGTTGCCTCGGGCATTGAGCGCGCGTCGTTTCTTCAATGAAACGAGTAAAAGTGCAGGATGCTTTGTTGTCCTGCCCATCGGAACAGCTTCTGCAGATACGGCAGCAGCTAATTTTAAGATCGCAGCAAAAAAGAGCCCCAGCTCCGAGCTCAGCCCAAGTTCAGCACAGCTCGAAAACCCTTGGAGTCCGCATTCGTTCGTTTGCTGATGCTGATGCTGCAATTGCTGCTGCGCTGATCTTGTGCGATAATGATGCAAGTTAATCATTAGCTTGGAACGTGTATTATGCGATTATTAGTTTGGCCCGGCAAGGATTATTGTACTACTAACAACGCCCGCCTACCTACTCGTACCCATTTTGTGGGCGTTTTTCCTTGCGAATTTTAAGTAATTTTCAATTTCCGTTTGCCATATTCGCAATGCAGGGTTTCCTTTGCGTAATGCGATGCTCTTCAAGTTTCCAGAGCACATGTAACAATTTGTCAACGTTGTTTCAACTGGCAACGACAAACACTACGTAGGCAAATCTTTGCTTGCAAGCAGTTAAGCATGCGGCAACATGTTGCTGCAACATGTAAGATGTCAGCGTTTTTTAAGAATCAATTGCCGCCCAACAGCAGCAGCAGCCGCAGCAGCAGCAGAAGTCGCAATTCGATATTGTCGTTGTGGCTTTGGCGTTGGTGTTGCAGTTGTGCTTGTTGTTGTTGCTGCTGCTGCTGCCCGCCTTCTGGCTGCCGTCTGTCAGCAACATGTTGCCGCCGCCTCTCCCTTGGCTAAGTTATGGCCACACACATCGTACGGGGCGGCCTTGAAAAGCAATCCGAGTACCGAAGAGTACTTTGAAAAAATCATTGCAGAATTTAAATAAGCAGGCAACTAAAAATACAAAACAGACAACAACAGCAACAACAAAAAATGCATACAGCGCACACACATTTTGCGAGCTTTTCAATTGACGTGCAACATGATTTTGTAGGCGTGCAACATGCGCATGTGCAACAGCCGCAACTTTATCAGATTGCCGCAGTTCCAAAGCTGACGCTGCTTCAGCAACAGTCATTTTTTTTGTTTTTTCTTTTTTTTTTTTGCAGCTTTTTGGCATGTTGACTGTCAATTGTTTTGTGGGCGTTACTGCAGCGGCGGCAGCAGCAGCAGCAGCAGCAGCAACAGCAACAGCAACTACAGTAACAATACGGCCCATAGTTGTGTCTGCGCCCCAAAGCTATATCAATGTCAACAGCATTATCACACAGCGCTGTCAATATATGCAAGCATACATCCAGAGGACACAACAGCAACAACAACAACTGCATGCAAAGCAATCAAGTGACAAGCACTTGCCAGCTAAGCAGTTGGGCAGTAGCAACAACTGCAACTGCGGTCAAAGCAACAACTGCAACAATGCCAGGCTAAGACAAATAAATGCGTGTTTTTGCATGTGTGTGTATGTCACACTCGTTAACACGATGCGAAACTGCGCGAAATGCGATATTTCACACGATTTATGCACGAACAACGACAAACGATGCAACTGCAAAAGGCAACGCCAGCAGCAACAGCCAAGAGCAATAGTTGCTAGCAACCTTTTAAGCGGCCACACACGTTGCAGGGCTTTAACTGTTGCAACGCTCCTCTCAAGCATACAAGCAGATGTCCGGTAGGAATGCGTAATTGTTTTGTCAAGGGGTTGCCAGTTAAAGTCCTAGAAAGCCATTATTGCAATAATGACTGCCAATGACAACTAATACGTATTTAAAAACTCTCAGTAAAGAACCTAGAAGGTATATAGAAATTATATATATCTGCAAGATACCGATTTGAAAAACGGCAAAACATGGATTCTACTTACTTAAGTACTATTTCAAACGATATCGATTAAAATTCACGATTAAAAGTAAACTAAACGTATTTTTAAATGTTACCGCACTACGTGATTCCCATGAATTTAAACAAGACTTTCAGGACTCAATGCTTGAGTA